GCCTGAGAAAGATCTACACCTGGGCCCTTCACCCTGCTTCTTCTGGGCCATTACAATTACAGTAGCATGTACTCCTTCAGAATACTAAGTAATGCAATTGTGATGTTTGGGATTCTTCACCCAGTGGCATTTTACTCCCTAAACCACGGTTTTCTTTTTAGACACATTGTTCAGACTGTTCAGAAAAGTGCTGAATGAGCCCTGCCATTTAGGGCTCCATGAGATACAGCATATCCTAAATTTATTTGTGGGTACAGACTCTTCAGGGCTTAGGTTTGAAACATCACTGAGAAGAGGCACTAAAAGAATTCTGCTCATTCTAGTGAGCTGGGAATTCAGTCTCTAGCTAGTGAACTGGGAATTTAGTTGTCATGGCCTTACAGAGATTGGAGGGAATTCCAGCACAGGATCCTCTGGTGATACCAGGGCAAGGTAGTTGGATGGAAAACATCCAGGGCTGCTGGACAGACCCACTTCTGAAATGGACAGCTGAGTCTGGACAGTCTTCTCTCACTTCTTGCTCTCCAAGATAGAGTGTCCAGACAAGGCAGTAGGTTTCTGATCTGTAACCCATATCATCTGTTTTGGGGGCACAGTTACCTTTTCTCGGGAATGAAAGCCCACAGCTGATGAAAGCTGAGCTTTTTATCTCCCTCACTGCTGCAGCCTTATCATACACAGGACTTTAATCCCACACAACACTTAAGAAATATAATCATTAAAGATCTGAGTACACGTTTCGAGATAAGATTGGTTCATGATATTATTACTGATTGTGTAATTATGGAAATGAGAAAATAATCCCCTCGGGCTTTGTTGTAATGACTTCTGAGCATCTTGCATCATCATAGGCAGACAGCAGACTTCAGGATGCCACGAATTATTAAAAGGAATGTGGAAAATCTTGTTTTGGTTGGTGTCAATGTCTCTGGTAAGGGAGGACACCATGTATCTTCCACGATGAAATTGGATCGGGTAGAAACCCATGTGATCTTTTTGAAAATAAATAGTTAATCTTTACTTGATCTCCTGTACTCATGTCTTTTGATGCACTGGTAAACTGCATTCCTGACAGTATCCTGCTGATGCTGTGGCCTTGAGAGACCTTGACTGCCTGGTCTATGCCTCTGTTCTGAATCAAAAGACAACATGGGACCATTGCAGACCTGGCTGCATAGTGCTGATAATTTCATTGGCCATATTATTTCATGGAATTGTTACTATTTTAGTGATGTGAGAAGAGGTGCTGAAGGAGTGAGCTTGATGAATGTAGCCTGGTCAGCAGCTGGACTCCCATCAAGGAGAAATTATTAGGACAAACACAAGTGCACTAATGTTAGTAAAAATGGAGATAAAAACACACACACATGGATTTCCCTGGCAATATTTTCTGTAATTTTGGTTTGTGTTAGAGCCACCACCAAAGGGGAAGGCTTGATAGCACACTCGGTTTTACAAGGGGTAATAAGGAGGACCCTGGGGACTGCTGACCAGTCAGCCACACCTTAGTGCCCAGTAAGATCATAGAACAGATCCTCCTAGAATCATAGAATCATAGAATCAGCTGGATTGGAAGGGACCTCCGAGATCATCAAGTCCAACCCTTGATCCAACCCCGCTGTGGTTCCCAGCCCATGGCACTGATGCCACATCCAGTCTCATCTTAAAAACCTCCAGGGACAGAGAATCCACCACTTCCCTGGGCAGCCCATTCCAATGGCTGAGCACCCTCTCTGGAAAGAAATTCTTTCTGATATCCAACCTAAACCTCCCCTGGCACAGCTTGAGACCGAGCCCTCTTGTCTTGCTGAGAGTTGCCTGGGAGAAGAGACCAACCCCCAGCTGGGTCCCCCCTCCTGTCAGGGAGTTGTAGAGAGTGATGAGGTCTCCCCTGAGCCTCCTCTTCTCCAGGTTGAGCCCCCCCAGCTCCCTCAGCCTCTCCTCACAGCACTTGTACTTGAGTCCCTTCCCCAGCCTTGTTGCTCTTCTCTGGACCTGCTCCAGCACCTCAATGTCCTTCCTGAACTGAGGGCCCAGAACTGGACACAGCACTCCAGGGGTGGCCTCACCAGCACTGAGTACAGGGCAAAAATCACTTCCTTGGACCTGTTGGCCACACTGTTCCTGAGCCAGGCCAGGATCCATTGGCCTTCTTGGCCACCTGGGCACACTCTGGCTCCTGTTCAGCTTCCTGTCAATCCAAACTCCCAGGTCCCTTCCTGCCTGGCTGCTCTCCAGCCACTCTGTGCCCAGCCTGTAGCGCTGCACGGGGTTGAAGAAGTTATGTTGAATCACATGGAAGACAAGGAGGTGATTAGAGAGAGAGAACATGGCCTTAGCAAGGGCAAGTCATGCCTGACTAACCTAGTGGTCTTCTACAAGAGTGACAACTGATGCCATTTACCCCAGACTCCTCTAAGGCCTCTGATAGACTCCTCCATGACAATCTTTCCTCAGAATTGGAGAGATATGGATGGAATATCACACAGATAAGGAATTGTTTGGCTGGTTGCATCCGAAGAGTTTCAGTTAACAGATCAATGTCAAAATGGAAACCAGTGATGAGTGATGTCCCTTGAGGGCCTGTACTGGGACAAACACTAATATCTTCATTAAGTGCCCCAGACAGCGGGATCGAGTGCACCCTCAGCAGGTTTGCAGATGACAGCAGGCTGAGTGGTGCAGCTGATAGGCTTGAGGGAAGGGATGCTGTCTGGAGGGACCTTGATGGGCTTGAGGAGTGAGCCTATTGGGAACCTCAGGAAGTTCAACAAAGGCAAGTGTAAATGTGTTAATACTCAGTTTGCTCACTATACAAAACCATCTTTGCTCAGAAAAGGGGTCAGGAAGGCCAGGTGACCACATCAGTGGTACATCTGTACACTTTTACCCTTGGGCAATCAGAAAGATTTTGCTGGATGGCAACTTTTGTCTTAGCTGTGAGTGTGGAGATTTGTTCAAGTATCGCTGATGTCTGTTGCTTTTATTTTTTTACCATTAGTCTCATCATACGGTGGGAAAATGGGTGTCTCCTACCAGCCTTCTTTCCTTCTTCACTGCAATTTGTTCAGGCCACACCCTTAGCTCTCCATTTTAGCAACAGGGATTGTTGTGGTCATGCTGTTCTGCCACACTGTGGTGTCCACAGCGCCAGCTGTAAAACAGATGTAGGGCCGGCACTGCTGGATTTTAAAACCTTTAAAGGCTCAGGCTCTGGCCTCACTGCTGGGGAAACCTTGGCTTGTGCTTAAAAAAACCAGCCACGTGCACAAACACATACACACACACTGAGACATATCCTATTTTTCTGAAGGGACCATTGTGTGCCTCTTCATCTTTTCCTCCCACCCCTTCATCCCTTCTGTAGCTGAGACCATTAGTATTCTATTTAACTGGGTTTTCCAGGCACTTCAGAGTAGTAGGTGTAACTATACGTGTAGTGCCTGATCACTACTGTTGAGGCTCAATAATAAGTAAAATCTGTTGCATTCCTTGGTCCACCAAGCAGTGACCAGACATACCCCTCACACAAATATCTGTAGAGTACCAGAAGCAGGTGCCACCTTGTGTTGGCCACAGCAGTCCTTGAGCCCTTCTGCTGAAAGCTGCACTGCTCATCTTCTGAAACTCTGTGGAATCTCCAGGGAGATTTTTTTTAGCCTGTGGCTGATGAAACAATGCTTACCTTTAGTGTCCAGTTTTCCATTTAGCTGTGACTGGCCAGAGCCAGTGAGGTATTATGAAGGACTGTTGCAGAAGCTCATGACCCTGACTGAAAGCCAGGAGCAACTCAATGCTCTGACAGTGATTATTTACCATTTTCCCATGTTACATGCTGTATTTGGTCATGTTCAGTAACTCTGTAGTAATCAGACAAGATGGAACGGCAGCTTGTCAGCTGATTTAATTAAAACCACATTTCTTTTTTTTTTTTTTTATTGCCTCTCACACATCATTAATATTCTGTCTAAGACCCGCCTGCAATCTAAAGATTGGAATCAGTCTCATTGTGCTCTTTCCGAGCTTGAATTCCCAGACACACAAACCTGGGAAAGAGTTTTAAAGGGACAGGTAATAGTTAGAAACTAATTTGATTACATTGAAATGGACCACTCATTTGTCCAAATTAATGCTTATTAAGGGACCAGTCTTTCAGGTTGCTTTTAAATGCAGTGCAGGCTTTGCTTTCATGGATATGACTGGGAATAGAATATATTTAGGATTTCCCAGGAATCAGGTCTTTGCTCTGCAGACTTCTGCTCATTCAAATTGTTGGTTATGCAAATATATTAAAAAGACTCGAGTAAATAACACTGCACCCTTGTTAGGAAGGTTTATTGTTTAGGTATTTAGCAACAGTGTTTTATTGTCCCTCTTCTGAAGTGTCAGGTAAGATCCATTTCACGGTGACAGTGCTAAGGAAACTTCCCAGTCTGTCCATTCCCAGACTCTCTGGCAGTCACACTCCCAAGGTGGGAGACTTTCACTGCTGGGACCGAAGTCCCTTCACCCCGGGGGCTCCAGCGACCGATGGGTCCCTGAGTGGCTCCCCACACACCCCACACACCCCACTCACACAGTCAGACCCGGTTTCCTTACTGGTTTTACCCCAGTTTTCCCATAGCAGATGTCTGGTTCCATAAAGCCATTTATTCACGGCACATTAACACAGAAACAGCCCGAGCTGGTGCCTCCGAGGAGGACCCGCAAAAAAAGAACCCCTGGGCTTTTGCACCCTCACAGTCTACCCGTACTCAGGTCTCGCTCTTCCTCCCGAGTCTCTGGCTCCTGCCCCCATCTCCGAGTCCATCCCTCTGGCTGGCGTCACCCATCTTGTTATCCCAAATGCTCCCACCCAGAGCTGGAGCTGCATCTCAACCCGCAGTTTGCGAGCCGAGCTACCTGGACCGTGTATTCTTCAACAACAGTACATCAGCCACCATATGCACTCGATTTACAACCAGATTACAAGGCAAAAAAAAAAATAAATCTCTCATTTAAAATTATATACAGCAGTTTATTTAAACAGCGATTAACTTTCATCAACAGGCTGTGCATTTCTGTTTTCTTTAAGAAACCCTGCCATTCTCAATCACAGCTGCAGCCCTCCCGCAGCACCCCGCTACTCTGTGGCTTGAACCCAGCTTTACAGATAGTTCACAGCCAATTACCATACAGGTTTCTTATGTTAAAATTAAGGCAACTGAAGTCAACAACCTCTGCTGAATAAAGGTAAAAGCTTGAGAACATTTTGCATAACAGTCATCAGCATAGCTGATAGCTATTACAGTGTTCTTGTGCAGTAAGCCTACGCAGATACTATCTCTCTTGCCTGTCTGTTTCAACACGCATCTCATCTCATTTGCAACCCTTTACTTTAATTAGCTGAAGTCTTTGCTTCAGTCTTTCATATGTCAACCAGCCTGTGTACACTTCCATATTTTTAATCAGTAGCCTGTTGTCTTTACTTTGTCATTCACACTAGCATATAAATCTGCCCTTCTTATGATCCTCACTGCTTGGTAGAAGTCAAAACATGCTGTTTAATTTTCCCGTTCACTGATTTCCATTTGTTTCATGTTCAAATGCTGGCTCTTTTCCCCCTTTCGGGCATGCTGTGAGCATTAAACTTAGTGATTAAATGCCAAAAGAACAGTTCTTTTCCCCTTCCATGCCCACAAACGGGTCATCCTAACCCTCCCTGGGATGCCTACCTCGACAGCGGTGCCCTGTGCTTGTGTGCTCAGCCTATCTGGATGGGACTGCCCTGGGCTGGCAGAGGTTAGCTAACGACGGCTAATAAAACAGGTGCAAAACTTTGTGCTCTCCTAAGGTTGTGACTGGCTTCTTGCCGTTTCTTCGGGTTTTTTGTTTTGTTTTGTTTTGTTTTGTTTTTTAATTTAATCTACTACAGCAGACTATTTCATTTCACTGATGACACAGCCGAAGACACCAAGACTTAAAAATAGCTGGATGTAAAAGAATGAGAGGGTGACACGTGGCTCTGCACCAGCTTTCAAATTTTCCGGTTTACTGGGGGGGAATCTGAGGTTGTCTGTAGATGTCTGACAGGTGGGGTTGCTGGCCCTGGCATCTGTGCCTGTGGCTGATCCCCCAGCTGAGCCTGGAGTGTGTTCAGGATGTCATCTAGCTTCTGGTCCATCTGCATGACCTGTTAAGGAATCAGAAAGCAGACGAGCTATCAAATGGTTGCACGTGCTTCTGGTGAGAAACATTCATAGGCCAAAAGCTCTGGATGGATAAAGCCTGGCAGGGAGCATGGGCATCTGAGTACCAGCAGCTCCTCTGAGTTTTGTCCAGCTCCCTGCTCTAGACCAAATGACACTATGAAGTCACAGGGAAAGGTGTAAAGCCACGTGAAGTGGCAGCAGAAGGACAGGACGTTGCTGGCTCAAGGACTTGACTGCTTGAATCAACCATTTTGTCTCTCAGCCTTTTCCCAGGGTTGTTGATGATGCATCACGCAAACATCTGCCCTGAAACTCTCTTTCACGCTTCAGTTTACCATGAATGTTTTTTTCCCAGTACCTCTCTCAGTCTTCACCACCCTTAGTCGTAGGACATCATGCTTTCCATTACTGTCTCGGGAAATGAAACAGCTCCCCTCCCTTCACACTGTAAATAGATGCCGCTGTGATACATGTTACAGTCAGAGATCCTACCAGATATGGTGTTTATTCCCATGCATTTTGAGGAGGACAGCCTACTAAAAACCACATAATAATACCAATGGCTTCATTAAAAAAGAAAAAAAAAAGAACAACCATTCTATAGGAAGCTTGAGGTGCTAATCCCTCCTCTCATTTCTTTGCCTTCCAGCTGAAATTTCTCAGGCATAGTCCCTAGGTAGAGGAGTCTTTCCTAGCTGTTATTATTATTAAGCAGGGAAAGGCAAGTCTGGATTTTTAAAGGGACACTGCTCTCATACTTCCTACTGCTTTTTTGAAGTTCTGACCTTTTCTAGGAGCACACAGCAGGCATTATCCTGTTGTGCTGGTAGGGCTGGTAGGGCTTGCCTTCACTGCAAATGGCACCCCACTTGCCTTAGCATCACCCAGTGGGACAGGCTGGGGGCTGCTGACTGCTTTACTTTGCTCCAAAGGCAAAACTGTGGCCAGCATCATATAATCAACTGGGATCGCTTCTAATGATGCTTGAATACAGTGCAGCTTTGTGTCATAGATGAGCCCTAGAAAAATGAGCATTTTGAAGAACATTGAATGGTTCACTTTACAGTTATCTGCCATGAAACTATGAGCCTCTGCAAACTGTGATCTGTCCCAGTGGGTCTAATAAACTTTGATAGCAAACCTTTTAGAGCGATATCAGATCTAAACCGAGCTTTCATTAAAAAGGGAGACGGAGAGAATGAGAGAGAGAAGGATTCCAGCCCTTTTCCATTCAAAGATAACTTTGGAAATAGCCACTGGCAGCAGGAACTGAAAGCTTAGCAGGCTGAGATTGCTTCAAAAACCAAGGCAAAGAAAATCACCTTATCCGCTTTTGCCTCCTCTGTCTTTTCTCACTCCAAGTGTCAGCTCCCCTGAGGGCCTCTCAAACCTCAGGGTACCAGGAACTTATTCAAGTTCTATCTTTTTGGCAACCGCTATCCTCTCCTATATACAACCTGCTGGGGGAAGGAGGACTGGAGTATCCCTCCTACATCACAGAGGGAGAGACGTGCTGGTCTCTTTTCCATTTCTACTTTTATGACTGCTGTCTTCTAGTAGAAAAGCCCCGTTCCCTGCCCCTGATTTGGTGTGGGTGTGGTGTGAGGCAGTGCTTTCGAGCAGGGAGAGGGGAGTATTTAGGACATGGGTGAGACAGCACAGACCTTTCCCATGATTTCTGCCCCCTGTGTTTTCAGGTGGGTGGCTGGCACTGCCTGAGCAGTCGATCACCCTCAGAAGCAGTGACAGTGCTACATGTTCATACAACAGCTCCATATTCTGCTCAGCACTAACTTGGTTGGAAGTCTGGAAGTCACTAGTGGTTTAAGAGTTAAGCAGCACGGAATTAATTTAAAAACCACAGCCTTTATTTTCCCCTCCATTCTTGAAAAGCCTGTTTGGCTGATGCTGGTAATGACTCAACAGAATCTTTCTTAAGCAGAAATGTTGCTGCGGAGCAGAAACTAAAGTAGAACTAATATTTTGCAATAGGGTAAAAAGAGGTGTAGGCAGGGAAATGGGATCAGGGAGACAAAAGATCTTTTGGGGCTTTCTTTTGTGATGCTTTGTTGATTTTGATCTGCAGGCTTGATCTCAGATAAGTTATGCCTGCATATTTCATATCATTTAGACTTTCTGTATATCTCTGTATTTTGCCAAGTCAGTGAAAGAATGTGATGGGGAATAATTTTATGCACTTTTCTTTCCAGGAGAAGAGGAGGGTGGAGAATGTAAATATTCATTTGTAGGGATGGAAAATGAGAAATTCGTACATAAGGGAGTAGATTACGCTACACTTCTGTCACACCTTCCACATGAGGATCTGCAAATATTTCCTGGACGTCAACAAATAAAGCTTCTGAGTTCTTCTCTGTAGACCATACACATGTGAGGGTTTTAATGATAATTTTTGAGATTAGAAGCACAACTCTGCAAAATTAAGCGAGCCATAAGAAGATGTGGTCAGTGGCAGATCTCTTCTAATTCTTGGCTTTGTATTTTACACACAGGCTCAAACCACCACTTTCTGGCTTCAGATGTTCTAAAGTATACCTTACTTGCAAACATGCAACTAGACTAGTAAAACTTTAGTCAGAAAGACAAATTCTTAAGCACCTTGTTAAATGGGAGAGTATTAAAAAAAGGTCAAATTTGGAGGCTGCTTAACTGTGATTAGGACATGACTTGCAGGGTTAGAATCATTTTCACATGGGTGAAGCTTTTTTCATAGGAGAGTCCTGGTTTCTCCAAAACCCACTTAGCAGCCATTACTTTCCTTAAGCCCACACAGAAGGAGTTGCCTGTTTGGAGTAACACACCCAGGAAAGTGTGCTGACAAAGGGTTAAATTGAGCAACATGTTTTTAAGATGAGTAAAGTGAGAAGCCATCCAGAGATTGCTGCAGAGTTTCCAGAGAGATGTGATATGGCCCTGGAAGGCTCGGTGGAGACAGGTGAGTTTGGCAGCTGTCCATGGGCAAACGGCAACAAAACTTCTGTTCTCCCACACCACAACAGTGCTCTGGAGATGATCTATAAAATTGTTAAAATGCTTTTATATCCTTTCAACTGCTCTGCAGAAAGGAGACTTGCAAAAGCAGTTTAAAAATATTACACTGCTGTTATTGGGGCTGTGAGGTGAGCTGAAGGAGTGTTGAAATGTGAATTCGTTCCGACATCACCTCACCACCCTGCACACCCTCCGTCCCTCTGGGAAAGAGGGCTGGACTCCATGGTGACATGCAGGGCTGTCAGACAAAGAGAATGCCCTGCAACCAGCTTTAGTGAGTCACAGTAAGCCATGAAGTCACTCAACCCTTGAGACACAAGGTGTCCCTGCCCTTCACCTGGAGCACCAGGTTGGCTTTCAACACCTATGTACCGTTTGAGGATCCTTTAGAGCCTCTATTTGTGAAAGCAGGTGTGCCTTAAATACTTCTTTTTGCCTTGTTTTTCTCCTGTTGCAGAAATGCCTTGTGTAGAAAGATCCTAGGAATGGCAGCAGTATGGAGGAGGAGGGCTGGGTCATGCTGGGGATTTGCCACATGCTGGACAGATTCCTAACTTCCCCAAGAGCTTTTTTTTTTCTGATATGTTTTGCACACACAGACCATAAACAAAATGCATGTGTGGAAAACTCGGTTGGAGTAGTCATGTGGCCTTCCCCAAATCCTCTCACTTTAGACCAGAAAAATCCCTCCCCCCAGGTTTTGTCTATCTTTTTATTATGATTTCTGGAGGCTGAGAAAGCCTGTATCAATTATGTGCACAACACACTGACATGAACTATTTCCAGAGGAGCATCAGAAGGGGAAGATGGTCTGCTGGAGCACTGGAGGAAATCTGTAAACCCACAAACACGCTCAAATGTTGCTAAGTAGTGAAGCTTTGTATCAAAAGCTATACCCCGTAAATCAAATAAAGTTGCTGTCACCTCCTTAAGGCTCTGCTCTCTCCCTCCCTGGAGCAGCTCTACATGGCTGAGCTGTGTGGCCTTTGTGCAGTTGTCTGCTACGTCTGGGCTGCTGGTACCAGGGATGCAGCAAGAAATGGAGGAGGGAGAGAAGACAGCTCAATTTGTGTTACAAATCAAAATGTCATGGAGCAACAGCAGGTTCTGCTTTTGGTTAAGCTGGATTGACTTTGGCTTCCTGCTTGCCTCACTCAAGTGCAGAAAGCTATGAAGCTGTGCCCACAGGACAGCCCAAGGTGTCACAGCAGGAGCAGAGGATGGAAGAGACACTGCGTGGTTGAGCCCCATCCCCTGCTATTGGAACCACTGCACAATGGGTGTTTTGGTTCTGGAAGCCCCACAAGACATCCAGACTTCCTCTCCTTGACATGCAGCCCTCATCCCACACTAAACTGCGAACCTAAGCACGGACAACCAAGAACCATCAAAGCCCAGTGGAACACAGGAGGTGAAGAAGGACATTCCCAGGGTCTCTGTGTGCTGTTGTGGTATTTTCCAGCTGACACCGCAAAGTCAACCACATTTGGGGCCAGAGCTACTGTGGCCATGCAAACACAGAACCCCAGCCCAGGGTTTCCAAACCACCAGAATGCTCAGCTCAGCCCCACTGAACACTCCCTCTGTAGCAGTGACCCAACGCTGAGCTCTGGGATTGACCATTTCCTCTGTTTCCAGCCTTTGCTGCAGCTCCTGGTCCCTTGGTAGCTATAATGGAGCAGGATCCACTCACTGCAGTTCTGACTTACAAACAACTGATTGCAGGGCTTTAACACCAACTGCTTGGAAAAGAATCACTTGATGGGGAAGATTTATTTTGTATGGATAGAAGAGTGTATGTGAACCTTAGTCTGCCATGAGCTATTCTACCTGCATGTACTTGTTCCTGAATATTCCCAGCTTGTTATTTGTGATAGGTCACCTAAGGTCTAGCTTGTAGGAGAAAATGGTATTAATTTAGCAAAATCAGATGTGATTTAGTTGAACTAGCGCAATCCATTTTATGGATGCT